ATATATATATATGTACAGTGCTTTTAAATCCTTCTCTGTCACATTTAAATCATTCAGTTGGGGTCTATAAAGTGGAGCTGCAATGCTTTGGGCTAATTTCCTCTTTATTGTAACTCCACAAGCCCCCTCTTTCACCCCATTTTTGAGGTGTGTCTCAGATCAATTCATTTTGATGCTGCCTCTTTAAATCCAAACAAGGRGCTTCACACCCCGCCCCCCTCCTGCTTCCAGAGTGGTTCATTGTAGTTTGATAGAGGGGTTTGTGACTATATAGCTGCACAGAAACTTAAACTTAAATTAATTAAAAGATGTCTACAATGGAAGACTTGTCCATCCAGACTTACATGGAGCCAGAGTCTGACCTAAGGCCAGAGGACAATGAAGACCACCAAATTGTAGTTGGTAAATCCAGACTTTATTTGGCAGTTCTGTCACAAATACTCTGACGTAATAGTTCAGAAACTATCATAGAAAATAGAAAAAATCTGAAGGAGTTGAAAAATATGACCCCAAACAGAATATAAAGATATCTTTGCAGCTCTTGGGAGACTATTTCAACTTTTCTGCATTTCTAGAGACTCCAAGTACACAACAGAATGCATTTAATGGCTAAAAATTGGATTATGTCCCCTTTAAACGTATTACTTAGAAAACCTTTGCTGCTAAAAACTGATTAATCTCCTTTCCTCACGCAAAGAATGGTTCAGTGTTTCATGTTTCATGCAGATAATGAAAAATCCCAAAGCTCTATTCTCTTACATTTTGATCAATCAAACTTAGATCATCTCACCGGCTCTTTACTCAGAGTTCTTTCTAAGTACAAAACTTAACCCGACCCTTTGGACAACCCACAGCTCTGGCATAATGTMTGTTGGCTGATTTGTGTTTTCTGACACACATGCAACACAGCTTGAATGAAGTGACCTAAATGCTCTCTCACTGGGTGGTTGAACTACGTACACACACCTGGTTAACAAAAAAAAAAAGATATTTTGTAAATTGACTTTCCAAATAAATTGATAGGACCCAGTGAGAAGTGTTATTTTATACAATCTTATCCAATCCGCTAAACAAAATGACAGAAGTGTCTGTAAACCCAGTTAGATATGAACTAAATCCTCCACAGATGTTTTAGAGCTGGCACTAATGCAGGATCAGGGCCCAATATCTCACTTTTATAGCTCAGTTCACATTTATACTGTATATTTCCTGAGCCGCTCAGTTGGCTTCAGCCGGGACACGTTCAAACGATTTCCATAAGGAAGCCTGAAAGTCCACCTGGGAATCCAACTGGTAACGTTTTATTTGGCGCCAAGCTGCCGTTACCGTAAATCTGTTCCCTTCCCAACTGGATTAATCTGTTCCACGTCAGGTTTTTGCCGTCTTTATCCGCGGCTCTTAATAAAACTAAAAACAAGGCGAGTTGGTTGTTAAATTTCCACACTTTGTGTTATTTATTTATTTATTTATTTATTTATTTATTTATTTATTTATTTATTTTACTTTACTGTGTGGCCTCCAGGAGCAGCTGGAACATCATTAATTCTGTCAGCGTTTTCAGCCTACTCATTCGCTGCCTTCCCAAACCGCTGCGGAGCAGAGAAATTTGCGAGCCCCTCGTCGAGAAATCCATTTGTTTACTAAATTGAGCTTATCTGAAGAAAGTCGGGACGTGGTAAAATATAATAACGCCGAGCAATTAGTGCATGCTGCCTTCACTTTGTTTACAGACACCTCGGCGCGCYCACAGACACGTCACCTCAATAACCTCTCATTTTTCTCTATTTCTAACCGCCGACAAAACAAATTAGCAATGCAGTTTTTCATTGTTTATAAGGGCAGTCCTATCTGTGCAGCAGACTTTATCTGCACGGTTAAACAGTTGCTTTTTTATTATTATTATTATTATTTTTAACCTGATTGCATAATTCAAACCGAAGCCCAGGACCTTGTTTCAGCAAACATCAAATCCGCTGAGCAGGAGCAGCTGTGATTGGTGTTCTCACCGAATTGTTTGAATTATTATTTTTTTGCCAGTTTAGATTAATCACATTAGTGTTGTATTTATTAGCTTGTCGTAACCTGTCACTGCTCATGAAGCTGCGGTGTTCAGTAGACTGAGCTGTTAGCTGCATTGCAGTATTTTCTTACTTGTTCCTTTTTAAATTGTGCAGAAAGGCTCTCCATGTCCTCTGAGAAGATGCACCATCAACCTCCTTCCAGATGTCATTTTCAGTCTTGTGCAACATGAAATAGAGCGACTCATTAGCTTTTGTGTTCTCCGCATACTTCCTCTTTCTGTTTCTTCTTTTTTAACTTATTTTTTGACATGGCAGAAGTTTGCTTGCTTAAAAAAAGAAGTTTGCTTGCTGTGAGCACATGTAGTATGCTTTTCTAAATGTGCCCATGTTCACAAACTGCCCTGTAGGAGGAAAGGAAATAAGAAAATCCTGGCAGCAGTCTGGCTGCAGTAAGACAGAGAGGCTTGTTTGGCTGGTGGGCAGTAACATTCATTAAGATACCATTAAGATACTAAAGAGTTCCCCTCGTTAATCACTCCAGTCATAAAATCCCAAATAAAAGCTCCAGCAGACACCTTCTTCTTCTTCTTCTTCCACCGACTAATCTGCTTTGCCGCCTTTTCTCTGCCCTTCTTCGCAAACCGTCCTATTTAAATCCTACACGGCTCCTTTCTGCTTCCTGCCGTCTTTTTTGTCTTTTCTCCTCCACTTTCCCATCCCCTCATTTTTCTCCTCCACTTCCCCATCCCCTCGTTTTTCCTCCTTCACTTTGTCGTTTTAGATTAAATGTGCCATCACTCAAGCACATGCACTTCTACTTCCAGGTCTTTTTAATGATGCAAGGCTCTAATGTCATCACACTTTTTTATGTCGTTATGCTTTAATATTTCTTGGAAATGGATGCTGATTTTAGACACGATGATACAAACTGAAATGAAAGGCCTAGCATTCCTTGAAGGAAAGTGCATCCTTTCTGCCTTTCTTTACAGAGTTTTAAACTAATATCTTATGATAAGAAGGAATGGACTTGTAGCTATTTTGGTCAAACCTTGTAAAAAACGTTACCTTCGATTTCATGTGATATTGAGAGATCTCACATTTTAGCTAAGTATCCATTAAAATTACTGTATTAGAGCCACTTTTGTGTTGGCTAAATTCAGTTGGCAGTTGGTAGCTGTCTATGTAGACTCCAAATGTTATGAGCTGTAGATGTACAGGGCAGGGTGTGATTACTTTTCACAGATTTCCCTAAAATGCAACCAGCAGTGCAAAACATACAGTAAAAAGACATGCAAATGTCCCAACGAGTTTTAAGTCCGAAGGCACGTGATATAAAATGTATCACTATAATGAGGTAGCACATGGTCACACAAACATACATCATCCGAAGGCTAGACCGTGTCATTTCACAGAGGTTTTATGCAGCCTACACGGACTGCGCTGGCTGTGGCCTACGTGGGCCGCATCCTCTGAATTGAGATGCAGCCTTAGCCAGTTCTGTGTTTGAAATGATTGCTTAGCTGTGGCTGCCATCTTGAATGGGGCTGACTCTAAAAGTTAAACGGTTTCAGATCTAGTGAAGAAATGAAGTTCTCTGAAGTGTAGTTTCTAAAAGTTGTATTCCATTACTAGGCACTAAGTAACTTCAAACTAGGGTTGGGTAAAATCTAATAATGTGTTAATAATCATCAGTGAAACTGTCWATTAATATTTGCTAAATTGCATTTACTGCAATTCGTGCCATGTGATGATGCATTGTTGTATATGACACAGCATCACTATCAGGCACGCATTTGAGCCCAAAGGTGGAAGGTGGCYTGGAGCAGCTAATGCTTAACCCTAAGAACTTGTTTAATCACCTGACACACAGACGTTAGCCAGAGTACAATAAAAGCCAGAAAATTTGGACAAAGGCCACAACTTTGACCACAGGCAACGTGTAATTGTCATCTATTAATCTCCATATTAATTGCTTAACGCCACAATTAAATAGATACATTTTTATGTCACTATTGCCCAACCCTTTCTTAAATACATACACATACAGACAAAGGCAACATTAATGCTTACTGTTTTCAGCAGCAGGAGATATATGCTGACTACTTTTCTGTCATATTAGAAGATTGCAGCTGTAAACAGCAGTTGATAAACTCTAGCTGAAGTTTTGCACAAGTGAGTTCAGTGTAACAGGCAGTAGCTGTTGCTGTACCTTTGTATACAGTCCTGCTACCTTTTAATGCTTACTGAAACCTTGTCAGTGGCTTCAGGGAGAGTTTCACCTTGAGTGTTAATGAGAAATCAGCTTTCTTGTACTCCTTGGTAACGTCTATAATGAGAGAGTTGCATGCTTTACCCCAGATCAATAGAAAAGATTATTTGTTGGTGTGTAACCATGTTTGTATTTGTGTCTATCCTGTGTGTGTAGCTCCAGCTTGAATCAAACACCATGATTTTATTTTTTTTTAACAGCCTGGCCATGGTGTGTTGGTGTACCTTGTGTACATGCCGATGTCTTGCTGATTTGTTGCATTAGTTCTTTGTGTCCCGAGCCGTTTCGTTTGTTTGATGTTTGTTTTCTTCGCAGGTTTCCTTCATCCAGAATCTGGTGTTCTGCGTGGAGAGAGCCTACAGGGTGCCTGACTACGGCATGTGGGAGCGAGGCAGCAAATACAATAACGGCAGCACGGAGCTCCACTCCAGGTCAGTCGGAGAAATAAAACAGCACATGCAGAGAGGTGCAGATATGAACGTGTGGATCCAAACATGTAGAGAGATCGCAGGTTGGTAAGGACAAGTGTCAGCTGCTTGCAGAGTTAGGATATTCAAACTGTTTTAAGATTTTAAGACAGGTGAAGTTTTAAAAAGCTTGATTTATTTTTCTTCAAATTTATATTTGAGCTCCAAAAGCTAATTTTATTTAAAACCTTTGCAAATATATTATGCAAATATAATACGGGCAACTTTGGTGGAGTGGTTAGGGGAGTCGTCCTGTAACCGAAGGAATGCCGGTTCAATCCCCCATTCCAGCTGTCTCAGTTGTTGTGTCCTTGGGCATGACACTTCACCTGTCTTGCCTACTGATGGTGGTCAAAGGGTTCTGTGGTGCCAGTGCATAGCAGCCCGTGGCTTACCACCATCAGTGTGTGAATGTGTGAATGACTGTAAGTGTAAAGCACTTTGGGGTCCCCATAGGTCTTGATAAAGCAATCCATTTACTATGTATAAGCAAAAGTATAAAATAACATTTTCTGAAAAATAGCTGTGTGAAATCTTCATTCTGAACAATTTTTTTTACAGAGAATAAGGAAAGATGAACAAAACTTTGCAATAACATAGCTAAAATGTAGCTGAGAAAGCTGCATATGTTTTGCAGCAGAAAGAAATAGCTACAATTATCACAAAAAGACGATGTTAGCTGGAAAAGGCTAAAATTACCTAAAATAACAGCTAAAAAGTAGCTTAAATGGTAGAAAACTGCTGAAAGAAGCTTAAAATGCCTAAATTAGCAGGAAGACGTTAATGGAAGCACAAATAATTATACCAGATCAGCTGAAAAGAGCAGGAAGARAGCTGTGAAACAAAGAAAAAAATAAATTTAGTTAAAAAGAAACTGAAGTAAGCCTACCACACACAAAAAGAGCTCCAGAACAAAAGACAAAAAGTGCAGGAAAGGTTTATTTTGAAACTATTGAAACTATTTTGAAAGATTTTAAGGATGTTTAAGACAGATCTATTCATTTTGAATGAGAACAAAAATGTCAAAAAACTCTATATCTAAAAAAATATATACTTTTAATGGATGAAATACCAAAAGTCATAGCCATATTGTCCTGAAGGAGCTGTAAGTTTTGATACATGATTAGTTGAAATAGCTCACAAATTGTGGAACGACGTATGTGCTGGAAAACATATAAAAGATGAATAGATCATCTCAGTTTTATGAATAGTATAGTTATATAGTCGTAGCATTCGCAATGTTTATTTTTGCCCAAAAACAAAGATATAAGAAGGAAACAAGCTGTTAAGTCATCAGTGATTCTTCTAACTGATCAGAATTATTGACTTTTAATTTCACTTTATTGAAAACAACTCCTCCAGAGCAAGAAGTACTTTGAAATATTTCAAGTGTGAAATAGAGGCTTTGTTTCTTTGATCTCATTAGCTGGGTTCGGCCCCAGTGTGTTGGGTTTAACATTTGTTTCCTGATTCAAATGTCAACTCAGAGCAGCTGGACCTCCACTGAACTATAAACTCTCCGCTGAGGGAAAATGTACTTTAATGGCTCAACAATCTCTCTGGTTAACTTGAATGATGATAAAGCTTTGGAAGCGCGTGTTCAAGCAGCAGTGCCACATGTTCTGACCCAGTGCTGTGAGCCTTTCTTACTTGTTTTTAACTGACTTATCATCCAAGGTCGAACTGGTCTCCTTCTCCTCCCTCGGTGTCTTGATAAAGATCCTCAATTTCTGCCATGGCTTATCTCTGGGAAGCATGTTTTTTTTTCATCCCCTCTTTCTCCAAGAATCTAAGGCTATTGGCAGCAGCTTGCCAAGATATCCCGGAGGAAAGATAACAAATTGAATGTGGTGAAGAGGCACTACATCTTGTGCTTCAAGTATTTCCTTCTTCTCTGTCCACACCTTGGATGTTCACAATGAGGACCTCCACTCAGGCTATTTTAGAACACTGGTCACTTGACTATATTCACTCGACACCAGTTGGCGTACAAACTCTCATACGCAGCTCCATTGATTTTAATCGTAGTGCATCAGTTTAGCTGTATTTAAATTTTGCACAAGTGTGTTCAGAAAAAGACAAATCTGAGTTTGTTTTGAGCACATCCAATCAGATCTCTGATTTTATTAGTCTTTGCCTTTGAATTCATTGACACACCATTAAGTAGCCTCAACGAATGAACAACTTTTACTGGCGTAAAAAAGCACTAAAAGAATCAGTGAGGGGTGAAGCAAAAACGTAAGTCTACATCAAGCAGTGAACAAATCTAGTGTCACAAGCATCCACACATAAATGTAATCAGAGACTGGCTCAACTGGAGCTGCTTCATGGAAGAAGAGCCCCAGCTTAGCCTGTTAGCTTTAGCCTTAGCGCCAACGCTATACTGCCTTATATGTAGGGATGGGTACTGAATTCAATACTTTTTAAAGTACAGACCYAATTCTATCAGTACTACTGAGAACCTATTCACGTAACATCAAACGGTACCATGTTTCYGAACCTAAACACATCATTGAGACCGTATTGGCGTAAGAGTGGTGAGTTTTCCATGCTTGTCATGAACGCAGCATCGCGCAAGAGCGTAATGACGTCAGCAGCCGCTGGTTTATTTAACAGAGCTCAGTCTGAACTTAGCTTGAAAGCTCGCAGCTTGCAGCTCCTAAACTCGTCGAACAGACTGCCTCTGAATTATCTGGTGGATTAATTATCTTGTGAACATGACGTTCACTTTCTCAAAGTAAATAAAGTACCGCCACTTTCTTTATTTCATCCACCATAAAACAGAGACTGGCAGAGGAAAACAACAGCGACACTTCCCGACAGTCCGAACACGTCTGACCTGAAAGAGCACAAGCAGCCAACTTGAAGCGTTGGACACGTTTTGAATGCTCAAAACGTAGCTTGAACAGCTTTTATTTAGTTTAAGTCAATCCTGTTTTGCTTAATTGATTTAAACTTATTTGCCTTCCATGGACCTCCATCACACAATTTTTCTAGCTGGATTTTAATTTGTGCAATAAGACACAACAGTCTTGTTGTTTTCAAGAGTTTGTACTTTAACTAAATAAGTTACACAACTGATGTTACAATACAAAGAGTTGGATGTTGTCTTGATATTTGTTAATTTTATATATTGAGAAATATGTATAAAAGTTTATTATTTAAAAAAAAAATAATGCACACAAAGTACTTAAAATTGGTACCGTTAAGTACCTGTACCAATTCCCAGGTACCGGATATTGGTATCGATTCAAATGCCAAAGGTACCCATCCCAACTTATATATATTAGCTCGGTGCTAGTGCGACGAACTAACAAGCTAAACTGAGGTCCTTCATCCATATTTTCAGTTACAGGCTGAGTCATTTTTGTGTTCCCCTCTCTGTCATGTGGATGGAGGACCTCAGTGATGAGAGGAGAATGTGTAGCGCTGAGCTATTGCATATATGTGGTGATAGTATCGGCGCTACCGCAAAGGCTAACAGGCTAAGCTGAGGTTCTTCTTCCATGAAGCAGCTCTGTTGTCCTCCATCCATATTTTCAGTTGCAGGCTGAGTCATTTCTACCTTCTCCTCTCTGTCCACGCTCTCTGGTTTCATTTAAAAGGGCCCATTTAAAAAAAGATAAATTAAAAATTATAAAAACTAAACAGCCTACAGTATTTTTACAGCCTTTAATCGTGGATCTCTTTAATACAATTTGTTTTAATTATATCAGCAGGTAATTTGCCCATTATATTGAAGTTTCCAAACAATATTGTGTCACATTATGTGTTGTAGAGACCTCTTGGCAGGATAAAGAGGGGAATATAGCAYTAAAAATGGATTTGCTTTTCTTTTTTTTTTTAATCTGAATTGCAATCACTGTAGCCAGCCACTGTGAAATTTTCTTTATTTACTTTCCTAAGAGATACATTACATCAGACAAACATCTCTGGAAACTTTCACTTTATTGAATTCTGCCACATATTACTAAAAGTTTTTTATTGTGTGATTTTTTTTAAGACGGTGTGCTCCTTAGATTGAAGAACAAACACCTCTGAAGGGCACTGGCTTCACCGCAACACTGCATTTGCTGTCAAGTCTAACAAATTGGGTTTTTTTCTCTGCCAATYTGCTTCACTATCTTTTTTTTTCTTTTCTTTTCTCTGCAGCTCTGTGGGTCTCGCCAAAGCTGCTTTGGAGGCCATCAATGGATTCAATCTGTTTGGAAACCAGGTATTTTTATTTTGTGTGTGTGTTATTGTTCTTCCTCTTGTTGTGCACTTCCTTTTCACATAAATTCCTTCTCARGGCTGCGTTTTTTWATTTTTTTATTTTTTGCAATACGCATTACTTGACTCAAGATTGAAAGCCTACTTTGTAATTGAAATCTGCAGCGCCCCCATTAAAGCTCCCTACATCAACCAGATATGCCTAATGGGTGCCGTGCTACGATCTTGTGTGTGCACCGGACGAGCTGAAATTTATTCAGAGCTTTGCATGTTTTGCCAATTGAACATCATCGTTGTAATTATTGCTGCTTCATCAGTTTAACAATGTGTCTGCGGGCCTTTGACCGTCAGGGCGTTTGTGTGCCTGTGTTTGTCTCAGCAAATTGTTTGTGCTTCAGCAGACTTTGATCGATGACCACTGTTGATCCGGGTTTTACTGAGAGTCTCCCAGCCTGCTCCTCTGCTGAATCCATTACGGGTTGTATATAATAAATATACAACAAATGTTTCTTTGCTTTTTTTAAACAGGAGCATTTAGGAGACTGGTCAACAGATAAAATAATGGAGCCTTTTTTTTTTTCTTTTTTAAGACAAGTGTTTTACCCAGGAATTGCTTATCTGGCCATTTAGTAGATTTATGACATATATGTTATGATAATATGTGATGTTGGAGTAAAATCCTTGCTTTTTGTTGTTGTTTTTGGACATCTGTGAAATATAGGATATAACCACACCTGAAAATGGATTTTGTCCTGAAACACAGCTAGTTGAGAAAATTTATAGGGGTGACTGGTTTATGAGCCATGCTGTGCAAAGCTTCTGTCGTGTGTGTGTGCACGTGTGTGTGTCTGTGTGAGACAGGCMCTTATCCCTGTGAGGGAACAGTTGTGCACCAGCCTTGCAGTTGCTTATTAATGACCCCTATCAATCTTGATTTCCCAGCTGACTCTCATCCGTCCAACACCAAATGTAACTCCCCCAGCGCCTTAAAGCGGAACATTTAGTACATTCTGAAKTCTGTTATCACACGTACCACTGGCTGCAGATTCTCTGGGTGTGTATCATGTTTAGCCTTTTGTGCTAGATGAATGAACACACGGCTTTCAGGTTCGTGAAGTTTTGATTTTGTTTTACTGAGACCTTTCCCCACTTCCTCTAGTCATTTATAGCGAATGCAATGAACTTTCATTTTTGGTTATATGACTAACTGAATTGCTTGGGCAAAGTGGTATCTTCACGAGGTGGATGGCTAAACTTTTAGCTCACTTATTAACTTCATGAGGTGCATTCTCATGGTCGAACAGCTGTGTTTCAATCTTTGGTAAAGCTGTCACTTTTTATCCATCACAAGCAGACTTTTTTTCCCTTATTTTTCCATATAAGCAGTGCCAACCTGTTGCGTGTTTGAACTGTCTTGTGAGTTGTGGTATAGTTGATTTAAAATTTGGCATTTTTTTCTGCTTATCTGTGCTAATACTATGGATGTTAAGGGTTAGGGCTTAGTCCAAATTACACCTACAGATGGTCCAACTTTTGCGTGTGCAGATTAGAATTTTATACATTTGTCGAACTCAAAGTACCCAAGCCAAGAAAATGTGTGTCTCAAACTGTGCTGACCAAACAGCGTCACTCCATGCTGGCCCTGTTTTTCTACATTTAAATGAACTAATATGGCTGCACTTCAATTAAAATCTACACTAGTTTTTTTTTTTTCTAAATTGCTACAAGGGCAAAGAAACATTTGATTTGCAAAAAACCAGCATCTTTTGCAGAATGCAGTTATTTACTGAGAAGAAACTGATAAAAAGATGGTATGTCAGAAAGAATACATCTGCAAGTATTTCCTCACATACAAATAAAAACACAACTCATAGGAAACATRAGGGCTGCACTGCATTACGTTGTAAATTGTGATATGAAAAATACAGGAATTTAACAGATGATTTAAATAACACTAAGTTATGCTGCCATGTTGTTGGAACCGTCACCAATCTTACCTCTTTTTTGTGCATGGTATAAGTYTGTTTTTATCTGTATTTGAGAGTTATCTTGTATTGCTTGCTCTTATTGTGCTGGGACCTGAGTAAGTATTTCCTTCTATCATGTGCAAACAAGAATTGTGTTTTACCATAAACAAGCCTAACGTGTTGCCTGTGTCTGTCCACTTCTCTGCACATTTGCTCATCTTCCTTGCTGTCAAGATCCTTGTTGTCTTCCACCTCAGCTTGAGAATTCTCCAACATTTCTCTGAAAAACTTTACCATTATRGTTCCAGAAGTTTCCCTACAAAATGAAAGTAACTTGTCAAAATAAAATCTGTAACACACGACCGTTTAGCGCTGTGACTAATAGTTTACATGTTGATTTAATTTGCCTCCTACAGCGCAGGACCTACAATGTGACTATTGCGCACACATACATTGCAYTGACAGTGTTCAAACGATACATTGTGCAGCTCTAGTAACTATTTTATGGAATACTTAGTGCAGGACACTTCAGCTTCCCTGGTCTATAGCTACAATGTAGGTGAGAGGTGTCCAGCCCCTGTCGTGTCTATATAAGGGTACAGCATGCACCTCATCATCATAAATGATCAAGTTTAAATTGTGCAGCAAGGACAACTGTGTCCTGATGCAAAAGGTTATGACATGCTCACACCTGTTGAACATCACAACAAATTTTTTCCTCATCACATACAGAATTAGTGCTGTTTGCTTTGTTGGTACAATACTGGAGACTGTTCTGTTATTTATTTGTGTGATTTGAAACATTAATTAACATTAGGTACCAATCTTGTGACATTACAAGTATTAATAGAAAATTATTTTCTATCAATCACAGAAAGACGTCATTTGATTCAATTAATTTAAAAATACTTTATTGATTGGTCATCATCATCATCATCATCATGTAGCCAAACAGGCCTAAACTACAATATCACCATGTTTTATAGACCCGATACATTTCTCATGCTGCACTGCAGGTGTTTTTTCTTCAAATTAGCACTTCTTGTGTTCATCACAAATTAATATTTTAGTTTCAGATGTCTTAAAACTTTAAACGTCCTCTTGCTTTTTGTGTGATCCTAATATGTATTTGTTCACTTTCTTGCTGTTTCTGCAATCATTAAATTCAGCCAATAACAGAGAGGCATTTAATTGCTTAGAAGTCAATATGAGTCCCATTGTGACCCCACTTTTTTTTCTTTTATTTTGAAGTGACTTTTTTTTTGTAGCTGACCCCTTCTGAGAAGAATAGCATTTGGTTGATTTCTTTTTACCCTGACATTTCCAGCCTAATATGAGCCAACAAGTCTTTTTCGGAGGTTATTTCAAATTGTCTTTGCTTGAGTAATCCTGACACACTTCTACACCACATTGTGACAATCAAACAAACAGAACAACTCTTCCTCCACTGATATCCAACTGAATAAAACCACTCAACAATAACTTGTTCTCAAAATAATTGCTGATTATTGAGCATCTTTGCAGCTCTCATATAATAATAGATTGTTTTCTTGAGGATATAAGTGAACTTAGTCTATTTCTTTTATATGCATGTGCTATTTACTTTTAGATTTTAATATATTTGGTCATATTTATGGGAAATAATAAGAGCGTWTGAAAACAACTATAAATAACAGACATTTGCTGTCGTGAAGTAAATAAAAGTAAAAAATAATATTACTATAAAAGTATAAATAGATCAGCTATAGTCTTAAGAGTTGTTTGCATATAAAAACTGTAGAATTATTATTATTATTATTATTATTTAGGTGTGTATAATTTTGACCCTGTTTGAGAAAATTTGAAAAAAGCTGTAACTTCTTTTTTTTAATCCATTAAACTTGTATGATATATTCATCCTGGACCCTGGCTAAATCAATTAAAAGCTCAAATTTATAATGACATATGCTAACTGGATATAAACTTCAACAGTAATGTTGTATTTGATTCTGTAACTGATTTCCTTGAAAAAAAAAAAGCATATTAAACTGGTCACTCAAATGTTTTATTAATCCTTGCACAAGATTTTATTTTGCTCTTAATTTGGTCTGTTAAACTATTTGAGCATTGTAAAGATGCTGTAATATCCTTCACACATCTGTACACTGGTTTCTGCACTAATGCATTAAGAAATGATCTCCCTATGTGGTATTTCCACCTGCATGTCACACAGCTGCCTACATTTGTGACTAGAATACCATCACACTATGCAAATTGTTGTAGGAAAGATTGCTTATTTGACTAAAAGCCCAGACCTGTTTTAGAAGAAGGGAAAAAACGCAAGTTTTGGCAATATTCATACATTATGCATAAGACCTGCATTAGAAAGTGCTTAGCAGGTTGGAGCAATGACTCAGTTGGTTTTKTGTAAGCACCGCTGATGGGTGTATGATGTGGACTGTGCTGATTTTTAGAATCAAAAACGATTTGAACACTTTTATGTTGGGAAAAGAAAAAAACTAAATAGCTCTCACTGCTCAAAAATATTTAAGTGGACTGGATGTACAACCTGTGTTATGGTTGCAGCTCTTTTATTTTAGTGTTTGGACTTTTGAAGTGATGGAATAACTTCCAACTTACTGCTGTTCAAACACTCCTGCCTTTGACTTCAAACAAGCATTTGAGCCAAAAATATCCACCCAGCCTTACAGATAAAAAGTGTGTTTTMATGTGTGAAGTTATAAGGTGAGATGTTGGATCTTCTTCTTCTTTTTGATGGATAACTTGCCAAGAATGAATATGTGTGGGTGTCTGCATTGAGAACTGAACACTAAGTTTTCACTTTACCTGTAAAGCATGAAAGGTTCTTCTGTAACCACAATGGTGTGTGTGTGTGTGTGTGTGTGTGTGTGTGTGTGTGTGTGTGTGTGTGTGTTTGTTTTGCACTGCAGGGCTGCTCGTGGTCTGTGATATTTGTGGATCTGGATGCCCACAACAGGAACAGGCAAACCCTCTGCTCACTGCTGCCTAGAGAGTCTCGCTCCCATGTGAGTCCATCCATGTACCTACTGCCTGCCATTTCCCAAATCGCTCAAGAGCAGCTAGAAATGAACTGTTTATTTGTGCCTCACCAGAGGCAATAGTAGAGTGAGATTGTATAACATGGCATGTGTCCAATTGAACCCTTTCCAAATTAAAGGCTTATCACCTTATAACTTATGGCAACTTGTGAAAATTTAGTCCAATTTAGTCTACGCTAACGATGACATTTAAAAAACTACTTGAAGCCTTTTATATACACACTGTAGCACTAATGATCAAATATATAACCTATATGAGTAATTAAGGAATAACAAAGTTTTCACAAGTCAGCATTAGTTGTCTAAAACATTCTAGTGTGACAGGGCTTTAAGTGAGTCAAAAATCTAGTAAAAGCTATAACTTCTTATACACACACACACACACACACACACACACACACACACACACACACACACACACACACAC